CTGAGACAAAGACATCACACACGCACATGAAACCCCGCAAAGGAAACCTCCTGTGCAGTTCCATTAAGGCCATTACAGGTTGCCTAAAGCAAACCCAGTGCGGAAAGCAGAAATATGTCAGGAACATTCAAAGGCCTTCCAGCAGGGTTCATCAGTGAAAATAACCTGAAGAGAAAGTCTACACTTGGGGCTCTGATCACCACCACTGCCTCTGGAACGTGTTTACAAGTCATCGGGGAAATAACAGCAACCCTCGGCTTAGCTGCCTCATGGAGAACATCACAAACGAAGCATAAACGCTTAGGTGAATGACAACTAGATCGCTTCCTCTGCCCACAACCCTGTTAAACCTAAACCTGCAGTATGAGTGGGATACAACTTTAATTGTGTTTAAGAGCAACAGGCAGCAAGGCTGGGACACATAGACATTTTCTTGTGTTCATACTTATCTTCGTGCTGCAACATATATTCTCTCAAAGCATATCTGCCATGTTTCATCTTGTTTCTTCACAGATATAAACAACAAAACATTGCAGTAGTGTTGCTGGACTAATATTTAAGACATGATTCAACTAAGTGCAAAATACAAAGGACAATGTCAATGGTGCAACTTCAGCAGCTGGCATATTGTGCCTTCTCATGACAAAAAGAGAAGAGCAGAGGGGATATGCAGTGTATTCCAGAGACATATGAGAGGTAAAAAGAAAGAGGAGAAGAAGGAGAGAGGGCATCAGGTGTTTTGAGTTCCTCCCCAACCTCCCTAATCTGTCATTTTGGCTGTTGGCAGAAAGCTCAGGTGTTTTGCTGCCGACAGAGAGCTTTGTGGTCGGATGGCTGTTTGCTGTCGGGAACTCTGATTCATCCGGGGCAAAGCCCAACAGCCCCCTGGGTATTTTTAGCCTGGTGTGTGGCTTGCACAGACAGGGGTCACCCATTTGGTCTTGGGCCACTTGAAAGGATTGTGATTCTCAGAAAGCCAAAATCCTCTCTTGAGATTTTAGCTTTTTATTTGTTACACAACTATGTAACGATGTATTACACAACAGTTTGGTAAAATAACACCAGTGTTGAATTATCTTTCCTACAATACTATTATACTTACAATAAGATTGATGCCGGACCAACGAAGGTTCTAACTGAGGCAGAAACTCAACGTCTAGCATTTTTAACCGTGAAACTTAATTGTGAACACTATCTTTAAAAAAGTTTTGTATCATTAGCTTCAAGTCCTACTGAGCCACTGGTGCCTCAGCCTCAGTCAGCAGATGCTTTGCCCACACTTCACACAATAATTCAGTTATTCTGTGTGGAGTTAAGGGGTCTTTGATTTGTAAAAGTCCTGAAGATAGAAAAGACGCAAGCTGTGCATGTGTCTGTGTGAATACTTACTGTAGTCCTAACTATGTTTAGATATAAGAATATACTGTGTACAACAGCATACTATGTCCTCCCAGGCACACACATCCTTCCAGCACCCATCCCATGAATTTGAAACGCACTCAAAAATCGTCTTTTAGAGCTGACCACTGCTTTGAAGCTCAGGGCTGATTCATCCCAAACAGCCAGTTAGTGTGGAGAGTGGGGCGGGGGGGAGGAAGCAGATAGTGGAAATGATGAATGGAGTACCAGGGAGACAGGGGAGTAAGATAAAGCAAAAGGAAGGCAAGGGAAGACAAGAGAGGAGAGTGATCGCCAGAGGAGGTGTAGTGTCTTTTTCAGGGCTAAGCTGTTTAATTAATGCTGCCTTACTAACCACCTCCAATCTCAAGAGCCTTTTCTGTATCTCTCTCCCTCTCAGTTCACTTGCATTCACTTCAGTCTTCATGTTTATCTTTTAATTAAAAATGGCAGATCATAAAGCGATCCCCACTGCGACCATGACAGTCCCAACACGTCAACAACAAATGGTTTAATTGCATGCTAATTGATCCTTAAATCAATACGTTTATGAAAGGACATGCAGCTTCTCTTCTTCTTTGTCTCTGTACATTTTGTTCTTCACTGTTGGGAATTACTTTTTTTAAATGAGCAACTTTCTTTTGGTCCTGGGAGAAATCCTCCTCACAGTCTCTCCTTTTTAATCTACTCTCCCTTGTTCCACCCCACTAACACCTCCCTCTGTCTGCGGCTCTCCTCTGTCCGGCTCAGGGAGAGGAGGAAGGAGAGGTGAGAATGAAAGTCTGGCAGGAGGATTTCCCAGCAGACGCTGGGACATGTGGGAGGAACCACACTCCTTGCCAATCCTGACTTATTATTTTCTGTCACTTCCAGCCACTAAATACTGGTGCTTTTATAATAGGGCTGGATCCTTTTACTGCTATTCAACCCTTTATCCTGGCTGTATATAACTATATGAAGATTCAATGGTGATTCACATGTGTTGTAAACTTTACTGCAAAGCATTGCCTGACAATATAGGTCATTGGTTTAAAGCAACTAAAGAGCTAATGCCATGTGTGTTTTAAGGTTATGTTCTGGCATAAGTATGTCGGAATCAACTTTCCTTTAAAAAGTAACAATTAAAAAAAGTATCCATTGATTATAAACGTGATATCAAGGAATCAGGGTTGTTTTATGATAACGTTTCATCTGCAAAATGTCAGAAAATGTAATGTCAAAGACAGAAATAGATATAAATAAAAAGTTTAGAAATAGACAAAAACTATAAAAGATGTCAAACAGCTGCAAAGATTATAAAAAGGGGCAAAATAACCACAAACCGACACAAACTCAGTAAACAAAGACTAAGAAAAAAACAAAAATAATTACAAAGTGACAGATTATTTACACCAATAATTAGATAAATGTCTAAAATTGAAAATGTCAATTATAGTTGTATAATTGTTTAGTTAGACTAGAGTGTTAATGGTTAGACAGTAATGCTGAAACTAAACATTTATGGTCTTTCACTGTTCAGCCTCCCAATTGAAAAACTGAAAGGTAAAGGTGACAGAGAGGGTAGAGGGAGGGTTGACTGAGAGAAAGAGTGAGGAGATGAATTGGCCATCTAAAGGGCAAGGCAATATGCATGAAATGTCACATCAAGTTGCTCCTGTCTGCAGAGAAGGAAAAACATCACTGTGTAGCTGTTTGGAACAAAACGTTACTCAAAGCTTCCTTTTGATTGGAAGGTGAAAATGAGATATTTTAACATCCCATCTATCACTTCAAAATATAGCAATGCCTCTAAATTGTGTGGACAGGTGGGAGACTTCACACATATATTTTGGGACTGTCCAACCATTCAGGGCTTCTGGAAGGATGTTCAAAAGGAGATTAAACGGGTGCTGGGCATTACCTTTACTTTTGGACCCAGCACTTTATATACTTTATATACTGGGTATACTGCCCAGTGGTATGGACAGAAATGTAGCTTTCTTAATAAGAATTCTTCTTCTAATTGCGAAAAAAATGATAACGGTCTCGTGGCTGAACCCGCAGTCCCCCAATATAGTCCACTGGAGAAACAGGGTAAACATTTTTTATTTAATGGAGAAAATCGCAGCAAGACTGCAGCTGAAAACTGACAAATTCAAAGAAAAATGGTCCCCATTAATACAAGCAACACCAGATCTCTAGCTGCACCTCTTTACTTATTTATTTTTTATTTATTTTCATTAGATGAATGGTAAAGCACTGGCTCTTACTACCATAAGGGTTCAGGTATTGTGCGATCATGTTTCTGATGAGGGGAAGTGATAATATCTGTAATATGTTGATAATGTTTACACAATATAGAAATTGATAACATTAAGAAACTGTATGTCCTTTTGGTGCCCAAGGAGGGTATGTATGATTAATCATGGTGTACAACAGCTGCAGTTATGTAAGCATCTCCATGTATGTTCTATTGATGTTATGTATGAAAAAAAAAAAAAAAGTAAAAAAAAAAAGAAGCTTCCTTTTTAATTTCATGTGATGGTTTGAAAGCCAGTTGTATTTTTCTATTTCTATATTATTTATTTTTTTACCATAAATGTTATTTATTACAATAAGTCCGAGTGTTTAAGCTCAATCTTTTTTTTCTAGTATCTAGAACTAAGTTTTGTGTTGTCTGCTTTCGTGACGCTGTTACATCTAAGCTTTACATCTATTCACACTTGATTTCCTGCATCTTTATTTGAGTGTGTGTATGTCTGTGTGTGTGTGTGTATGGTTGGAAGGTGGCAGTGATTAATTGCACAGTAGGGGTGGAACAAGCATTGGTTAATTATGTAATCGGATAATGTCAACGTTTATGTTGACTGGGACACAAGAGGTGGGGCCTCCTGTATCCCCACAGCTATTATGCACTAATCACAGCATGTGTGTGTGTAAGTGTGTGAGAGGGATCAAGTGTAATTCTTCGTACAGCTCCTCGGGGTGAATAAGAATCAAAGGGCGGTTTGATATTAATGGACATTTTCTGAAAATGTTTTCTGAATCACAGTGTAAACATGTCACATTAGATGTTGCTCCTTGCATAGCAGTTTCTCATTTTGACACCCAGAGCTGTTTTCTAGCTTTGGTCCATTTCAGTCCTGCCTCCAAGCTGAATATAATAAGCTTTTGATATGAGTCACATTTTAACAGAACAAGTGCTTTTACCGTGTGACATTTACAGCTCTCTGCAAGCAATTTCTTTTGACTGAATTTATATTTTTAACCTTACCAGATCTTAAGAAAAACACTACCTGTGTAACAATGAATTATGCCAACTAAATCCTTTTTATTAACCCTTACACTTCAAGGAAACTGTTCATTTGCATAAATATTTATACTTTATAAAAGTCAACTTCTTGTTTTTAAAAGATCAGATTTGGTCAATTGTACCGCTTCCTGTTTGTATACACAACGTAGGTGTAAACTGTGGTCCAAATTGGTACTGATGGAATGTTGTTCTTCACTAAAACTGTTCAAAACACCTGTTCTACTTGTTCCAGCTAATGCCAGGTTGTTTGTCATCCTTTGTTAAACGGTGTGTGTGTGTGTGTGTCCCCCCCCCTCTCTGCTCCACTCAGGGTATCACCACAGCCTCCCCTCCTCCCCCTACACTTCCAATGCAGGACCCGACGGGCAGAGGTTACCTTCTTCTGGCACCCTCTCCTCTGAATACCTGAACGAGGGCGGCTCCACAAAGGTTCTCCTTGTCATCTGCAACACAGCAGGATCTGGCCAGCAGGCGGTCAGGTGAGCTGCAGGATCAATTATTGTTATGGTCTTACATGGAGGGGAAACCACTTGTTCTGAAAAGCGAAGCCAAAGAGGAGAGTGTATTTTATCTAATGGTCAGCTCCTCTGGTTGCAAGAAAGCTGACTGTAAAAAAGTTCCGTTATCGTGTTAATCAAACAGTAGAAAAGTCAGTAAACTTACATTTATTTAATAAGATTGCAGAGACACTGTGTCTATTCAGTCGTATAAAGAATGATTGATTAATTCATTTGACTTTCATCATCCAGAGCTGCCTCAATATAAACATGTAGCTTCTGTTTGACTTTGACCTGTATATCTATTGCATGAATGCCTATAGACAGGGCTCCTTTTATTTAACTTGTGCAGCTTGAGCCCCATTCAGCTGTGGCTAGAAGCTGAAACCTGAGACTGAGTCCAACAATGCAGCTCAAACTGAAACACTTAACCTGTAAAAGTTACCATTTAACGGTTGCCATGTTACTCTAACAAGTGTAGGCAGCATCAGTAAATAGTTTTGACTAGAATGGATCTGATGTTCACCAACAAGACAGCTGGATGAATGCTCTATGCATGCCACCCACAGATTAGCTGCGTTGTTTTGTTTGGGGTTAAAGGTCCCTGAGGGGCTTTATTGCATTGCAAATAAGAGAGGACATGTCATGATCACATCCATCTTCACAGTTATGGCATTGTCTCTTAAGGAAACATCATCAATAAGGTACCTTTTGTCAGCTGCTAAAAACATTTATCTTAGGTGCACACTGACTGGTTCTGTCGCTGCTTGGTTTGAGGAGGCACTTTCATGTTGAAAACACAAGGTGTGTTTGAAGGACTGCAGTTAATGTAATTCATTGTAATGCCTCAGAACCTATTATGAGAAACTGTGTGCTTTTTGTAACACAGAGCATCATTCAAATAAATACATGCATTTAAGTCAGGGTAGCATCCATCCATATAACTTCCTGGTTAGGATTGTATTAGCATTCAGTAATATTCTGATACTAGGGGGCTTATTGTGTGTAAATAAAATGTTTTCCATCACCAACAAAGCTCTTTTAAGAGGAGGGCTCACATTTCTTTACAGGGATCAATTAAATCTAACATTTCCTTGAGTCATTAAAGATGTTTTCATATTTCCCTTCAGTCGTTCAGTGTCAGTCATGATGTCTGATAACAGATTCCCTTAAACTCACTCACTATGTTAGAATTGGACATATGAGCACTTGTTTGGCCCATGACACATGTGTGAGTCCGTCTTTGTACTTTTACACATCCATCACCAAAATTAAAGGTCAGTTCCTACACTGTTGAACCACTTTTGGCATTACAGATTTTGCTTCTGTAGCTATTTGAAACAGTATAGCACCTTCTACCAACTTTTGCAAGAATGGTGTGGGCACACAAACTCTTGCAAAAAATATACGAAAGTCAAACAACAGCCAACAAACTAAAACCTCCAAAATGACCATAACATTAAATCAACAACTCTCAAAAAGCTCCTTACCTTTCTTGAAGGCAGGATTTATTGCAGCGGTGTTGTTTTAAACTCCTTAGTTTGAACTAGGTGTACCTGCAGTAATACACTGGCGATTGATTGTATGTGCTTTGAACCTTGAAACTTCAATATTCAGCTCTTTATCTCTAATTTATCCGTGAGAGATCCTGAAATACTTGACAAACACAACTGACTCTCTCATTAGCCTCGCATATAAAAGTCTCTGATATAGCCTTGAGTTAACCTCGGGACAGAGAACCCATTACGAGGCATTGATGACATACAGACTGGGTTCTTTACTTTATTTGGCCGCTGACCCCACGTAATGTCCCTTCACGTTGTCAGTACAGGGCACAAGGAGCAGACAGTAAAGCCTTGATGCTCTTGACACATGACAGCGAGTTCAAATGACCTTCAATGGAGGCACTCTCTCAGAAATGTAATTTATATTGTTTTGTAGTTTTGGTGACTTCAAAAGTGAACCAATGTTTTTAAATTTACTGTCAATCTTTCACTTTTCTCCTCTCCTCTCCTCTCCTCTCCTCTCCTCTCTTCTGTCAGGTTTGGACCTCCATTTCTCATGCGTGAGGACAGGAGCATCTCCTGGGACCAGCTGCAGCAGAGCATCCTCAGCAAGCTGTATTATCTGATGCTGAACGGATCCCAGGCTCAGGTAATGCCTACACCCCCAATAAGCAATAACTTCATCCAATCAATTGTTGTACCCCTTACCCTTCAGCCCAGGGGTTCCTGGACCCTCTCCACTCCATTGGAGTAAATTAAAAATAGCAGAGCAGAGATTAGTTTGAAGTTTAATCAATGTTCCTGCCTGGTAGGGTTCTGTGTGTGAATTCAATTTAACGCATTGTTTGTTTACAATTACCTGAGTCACATTTTCAGCTCTACATAAAGACCAACGTTAAACCCCACAATTATGAGTTGAGAAAAGTTGTCCTTCAGATGTTTGTTTTTCATTTTTCTGATTATAAATGATTTAATAGGAACTCTGCTGATACTACAACATTTATTTTCTACTTAGCATGCTGAGTGAATAGCTGTCAGAGACTTCTGTATTGTATTGTCTCCCCATTATTAACTATCTATTGTGGTTCTCTTTTTTTATTCATAGAAAGTCATCCTTCGTTTTCTTTTTATTCATTCAGAGTAAGGGCAAATATATAAATTCTAATATGGGAAATGCCCATATTAAATGAAATCTTTTATTAAAAGCAAAGTACACCTCAGGACACACACACACACACACACACACACACACACACACACACACACACACACACACACACACACACACACACATAAACACACACACCATTTATGGGAGAGTAATAATGGTTTTATGTGCTGAGTACACATTCAATTATGTCACAGCCCACTTAAAGGCAAATACAAGAACTTCTCGTCTTCAAGATAAGGACTGGATTTCGCCACAGTGGACACATTACTGCTACATTCCTGAATTTAAATGTACACAATACAGCCGGTGAATCTGAAGTGCGTTTCTTTTCCGGACAGCCAGTCTTGCATATTAAAATCCACAGTCTACTTCTCCTCCACTCATTACGTACTGAGAGCTTTTNCAAAGTACACCTCAGGACACACACACACACACACACACACACACACACACACACACACACACACACACACACACACACACACACACACACACACACACACAAACACACACACACACATTCAATTATGTCACAGCCCACTTAAAGGCAAATACAAGAACTTCTCGTCTTCAAGATAAGGACTGGATTTCGCCACAGTGGACACATTACTGCTACATTCCTGAATTTAAATGTACACAANCTGACACATCTATTTTTACAGGGCGTCCACAATCTTTGCACCTGCTTATAATAAATGCATTGCTTTTTGAGGAAGGAACCGGAAGTGCTAAAAATGCTAACTTACTTCCGGCTTTTACGACGCGTCACTGCGGTTCTCTATTCTCTTTGGATAAAGATGTCAGCCAAATAGCCTGTACTTGAATGTAATGTAATTGAATGTAGTAATGTGGGTGCATGTTTAAACTGTTTCTTAAGTGTTATCCTGCAATAATCCCATATTTCTTTGAATATGTCCCAATTCAGATTTTTTTGTAATAGTAACGATAAACAGAAAAAAAATGTATATCCTTATTACATCAGTTTGTTTCGTAATAATAATAATAATAATAATAATTCATTTTATTTATATAGCGCTTTTCACAACTCAAAGACGCTTTACAGTATGAAGGAGGGTAGACAAACAAGGACAGGCAAACAAGTAAGTATGGTAAAATTAAATTATTTTTTTTAAAAAGGCAGTCAAGAGGAAGTTGATTGAGAGGGGGGGGGGCTTATGGGTAGACAGAGTTGAAAAGATGTGTTTTGAGGCGGGACTGAAAGACTGTGAGGGACTCAGAGTCACGAAGATCTTGTATTCAGTAACTCCCTATTTGTTTTGCTCCATTAGTAGCAAGCTTAAGGCTTATAAGACGAGCACAGGTAAACTCAGCTGTTATCCCCCCGCTAATTTCAGAAGCCTCCTGGTTGATTTACACTTGTCTGGTTGGCATGAACCTGTTTATGGTAGTATAATGTGTAATAAGGTAGTTTTACGCAGCCCTACAGGATGTACCAGTTGAGAGCCGGTTCTCACCAGATTAACTCACTCACACACGCAAAGAGAGACAGACAATGAGAGGCAGAGAGAGTAGTATATCAGGACGGACCCGGAGTGCTTTCCATTTAGACCCACACAGGAAAGAGCTTGTTGAAAAGGACAGAGAGCAGCGGCGTTTGTCCAGAAACATTAGGGGCTGGCCCGGCCTTCATGGCTGAATGAACACGGCCTTATCCAGGGTAAACACTTCTCTGTGTGTCCACATGATTCCCCCTAAGTCAGTTCAAATAAAACCTCTTTATTCTGTTTTGTCCACATTTCATTCAATTGTTGATCTTCCCATTGAAACACGTAACTGCTCCCTACCCTTTCTTTCTTCCCTATTTTCAAACATTTCGTAGAATGACACCCTTCATAAAGAGGACTGTCAATCCTTTTTATGGTGATTTTGTGACCACTTCCATCTGCATCCCTGCTTGAGAACTCATGACGTAGCATCACCCATATGCCATCAGCCTTTATATCATCAATAAAGGGAAAGTTGAACTCTAACCCTAATTATTGTATTACTATAGTTTATGACTTTTCAAACCAAGTCCTACTACATGACAAAAAAGGCTCTTTGTCAGTTCTATAACCAGCCATTGCTGTGATTTGCGAGATTGTGGAACAAATCGGTTGACTGTTGTGTAAAAACCTTTCCAAACAATAATTTCTGAGAGAGGACAGAAGCAAACACAAAGGCTGAAGGAGACACCAGTTTCGATTTTTGTTAACAAATCTGAATGAAAATGGGATCAAATGGGAAAATGAAAAAATATGTTGAGTGTGTAGCTTTGGCAGGATAAGCCATGAGAGGGATTGACAGAGCCAGGCACATATGTGTACAGAGAAAAGAGGAGGGGACCAAGGATGGAGCCCTGAGGAATCCCAGTGATGCATTAACAAGGGTCCAACAAAGATACCGTACAGCACAGAGGCACAGAAGGATGACGACAAAGGAGAGAGAGAATGCTCTAGCAATGTGAAGATCTTCAGTTCATTTCTATGAACGTGGCGCATGAAGCGAGAATGGCCTAACACTAGTGAACAAAAAGATCTGTTTATTTCTGGGTCAACGAAATGAATTAAGAAGTAAAAATAACACAGTTCAGGTTTTTTTTATCCCAAAGATTTCACAAACTGACATGGAAGTTGTGCTACAACAACTGCTGCATTTCCTGGAGGCTTGATAATATAGTTAATTTAATAAATTTGCACATTCTCTAGACTAGACAATGTCCTTATGACTTTGTAAGAGTCTGGCTGGCAATACAATCATTTGCAGTAATACTTATCACTATATATACAGTATCTTATTATATATTCATAATGTGCTCTCAGCCCCACTGCTTCTTCTTTGTTTCTTCTGAATCTTGTTTTCAGATACTGGGAGCACACGTCTCTTTTCTCCTCCACTTTGGGTTGAGCTTTCCCCAGTTTCTCAAGAAGCCTCAAACATTTCTCTCACACTGGCGTGCTGCAGAATTATTATCCCCTGCAGGCTCCCACAACTATTCATCCAGTGTGCTCGCTGCAGACACAAGGGCTATATTTAGGTTTTTCCAAATGACCTCACTACTGACTGGCAGATACACATTTTGGTTATTAGAAGCTCAATACCTTGGTTTGGCATAAAAATACATGTATGGGGTATTTGAAAGTAAGTTAGTTTTACAGGCATGTCTGGCTGATGGAGGAGGGCTATCCTAAATGGCAAGAATGTTGAAGTGATACATTAGCGTCAATTCAATTGAGTTTTTTGGATATTTCATGTTATGCAAGTGCCAGTGCAGAGGAGCCTTGAACTGAATGTGTTCTGCTGACTGTTACCAACAAAGCTCATGATTGGACAAACCATTCCAAAAGTTGCCTAGAGTATTTTTTATTTTCTCCTCTTCTCGTGTTTTGATGTCCTTTCCAAGAGTTATTAGCTGTTTTTATTTATATAGTCAGCTATTCAAATTTCCAATACTCAAGTAAGTCTTTGCCAGTCCCAATTCCGGATACAATCTGCCATCAGGATGACACCAAACCACGTTGAGGGTGAGATGCTGTAAACAGATACCATTGTCATTCTGAATATCTGAAGCTTCAATCATAAAATAGGTGCTAACAATTGACTAATTTAGACTGCTAAACATAATTTTGCCAACACGAGCCCGCCTTTATCGATGCTGATGCGCACCAATGCGAACGTAAAATAGTTCCTTAATAGCCTATCGATAGCAAAATTGAAGGTTGGCTCTTCATAGGGAACTTAAATCTAGTTGGGGAAAGAATATTTTAGCATAATCTTGACTAAAACAAAGATGCCATTCAAGTACACTTGAATATCCATGCCATAGCACACTGCTTACTGCATAGCTATTGAGACCACACAAAGGTTCGCAACAGGCTCACAAATGTGAGAGTGGAAAAACTGGTTGGCATTCGGGCAAACCTAAGGCTCTTTGAGCCTGACACAGAGCNAAGGAGAACATGCTGTCCCATAATAATAATAATAATAATTCATTTTATTTTACCCTCCCTCATACTGTAAAGCGTCTTTGAGTTGTGAAAAGCGCTATATAAATAAAATGAATTATTATTATTATTATTATGGGACAGCATGTTCTCCTTTCCGTTCCTAAAGGAGGGTCCAGTGTTTCCTAAAGGAGGTGAAAAAGGACGGTCCAGTGTTTCCTAAAGGAGGTGAAAAAGGACGGTCCAGTGTTTCCTAAAGGAGGTGAAAAAGGAGGGTCCAGTGTTTCCTAAAGGAGGTATTGAAGCTCCTTTCTTCTCATCTAGAGAATCAGCTCTTATCATGGCTGCAGATCACAGACTTCAGGTCACTCCGTTAGGAACCTTCCTGAGCTTAACTCACAATTACTACAATTACTACATACAAGATGTGAAACAGGAAGTGACCTGTAAGCTGCCGAAGTCCACGATGAGGATGTCGGAGGTCTCGCAGTAGAATCCGGACTGAGGCAGCAGCAGGAAGGAGGGCTGCAGGTCTATCCTCAGATCCAGAACCTTCCTGGTCTTTATGATGTGGGAAAGACCTGCACACACACACACACACACACACACACACACACACACACACACACACACGCACACACAATTACTTGATGAATTAATCAAACGCACCCTAACCCTAATATAATGAATAATAAATCCAACGCACCTGTGGCCGTCTTTTCTTTGATCTCCTCCAGTTTGGACAGCGTGGCCGAGGTCAGCAGCTCCAGGTCCACTGCTTTCCCCGTCTTAAAGAAATCCACTATGCTGTTCACCGTCAGCTGCAGGGAGGAAACAGGAAACAGGAAACACATCAGGAAACAGGAAACAGGAAACAGAAAGTGATCTGAAGAGAGAAGAAACAAGAGACATGAACAGGAAGTGATCTGAAGAGAGATGAACCAGGAACCAGGAAACAGGAAGCAGGAAACAGGAAACAGGAAGCAGGGAACAGGAAGCACTCACAGCGTCGTACAGGATCTTGACGCTCTGGGACCGGACCCTCAGCAGCTGGTCTGCCTTGCTGCTCTCTGGATTCACCTCGAACTCCAGAGTGAGCAGAGAAGAGGACGAGTCGCTGACTGGTGACATCAGAGAGGGGACCACCCCCCCCTGCTGGAGACCAGTAACAAACCATTTCTGAAGCCCCGCCTCCACCCTGAGGAAACAAAGTGCATTATGTACAGAGTTAAAGGTCTCCTATTATACTATGTGAGGCAGATATTACAGGACTCAGATATAAAGACATGTCTCTGAAGTGTCCTGCTCCAAGCCCCAAACATGTCTCTGAAGTGTCCTGCTCCAAGCCCCAAACATGTCTCTGAAGTGTCCTGCTCCAAGCCCCAAACATGTCTCTGAAGTGTCCTGCTCCAAACCCCAAACATGTCTCTGAAGTGTCCTGCTCCAAGCCCCAAACATGTCTCTGAAGTGTCCTGCTCCAAACCCCAAACATGTCTCTGAAGTGTCCTGCCCCAAACCCCAAACATGTCTCTGAAGTGTCCTGCTCCAAATGTCCTGCTCCAAATCCCAAAAGTGTCTCTGAAGTGTCCTGCTCCAAGCCCCAAACATGTCTCTGAAGTGTCCTGCTCCAA